TGGCCGCAGGGGGGCCTATGGACTGCAGTCTCAGAGCCGGGAGGGGTGAGGGTGAGTAAGCAGCCTGAAGCTGGAATTCTGACTCAGGGGCCAACACTTTAGCCTCCATCCCTACCCGGGCCCTCACCCCGCCCTCACTGCAGGGGGGAAAAGGGGGCCCCCCAAAGCGGCGAGAGTGATTTAAGCCTCATAAATCACTTCGCCCTGAAAAAATATATTTATTATTCTTAGCATTTTACACATTATTTGCAAAGTGGAGCGTATTAGAAATTTCAAAACAGCCCAGCGAGAGGCAGGACTGAGCCGAGGAGAGACTCTGAAAACTCGCAGAGTCCGGAAACAGATACACGAAGTTTCCTTATCTTCAGGCTGCAGATGTCCGGATAGGAAACTCCGGCAGGAGATCCGAAAGGGCATTTTTTTTTTTAAATCGCTCAAATGAAAATACACAGTATAGGTGTCTCCATGGAAAAATAATAAAGGGCAGGTTTTTTTGGTGGCTGGTGTGTTTTATTTAAATAGGCATGAGGAGCTTGTGAGAGAGCTGCCCTAAGCCACAGGGAAAATTACTTCATGGCCCTATTTTTAAAAAGAGTTAAACAGAGGCCAGGGCCCTTGGACACTCAACTCTCGGTATCCCTGAGCGGGGTGGGGGTGAGGGTCCCTGACCGGCTGCCGAGGAGGAAATCTGGCCTGAAAAAAAAAATCTGGCCGGAGAGAAGGGCAACCCCAACCGACATCCAAGTGATTTTAATGATAAAAGGTCTGAAGTGGCAATCATCTGCGTTGGAAGCCTTCTCTGTTGTTCTTGTTTTTTTTTAAATTAACTGTCAGCTCCCGCCCAGGTTAGCTACCAGGGTGCCGCCCACCAGCCTGCTCCCCAGCACCGGCTCCCCCTCGCCCCGCTGCCTACCAGCCTCCGCTTCGGCTTGATGAGCGGCCGGTTCTGCCCGTTCATCTTGTGGTAGAGCCCGCAGGCATTGCACAGGTAGTGGCCGGTGCCGTCTCGCCGCCAGAGAGGAGTGGCTGTGGCCCCGCAGTTGACACACTCCCGGCCTTCTGAAGGGGGACAGGGAGAGACACCAGCCTGCTTAACCGACAAGGTCGCGGAAGACAGTCGGTGGGCGAGCGGATGCCGATCCGGCAGCAGTCCCCTCGGCCAGGCTGCTTCAGGGGAGGTGACTTCTAGTCCCAGTCCCGACGGGGAAAGGGAGCCAGGGGCTCTCCCCCAAGGAGCGGGGTGCAGAGACTAGTTTAAGACCTAATTTCCCTCTTCAAAAACCTCTCTGGGCGAAAGGGAAACCGGGCTGAGGGAAAGCGGGCCAGGGCCCCAGGGGTTCTCCGCATGGACGACAAGGAGAGGGTATTTACAACAAACTTTGTCAATGGCAGGGCCGTGACTGGAATCACCTGGCTGGCCCCGGAGACTCCGGGCCCCCTTTCTAGTTCTTTTGTCTCTCTCCTATCCCCTCAACCGCATTCGCTACCTACTGAGTCTGCTCCACGTCTATGCCCTCAGCATTTACCCTGACTTTCTGCTCAGTCCAGGGTAACATCCTTCTTTCCCCCCAAACCCCCTCTTCTGCTGAGGCCCTACATTTCAGTCCAGGACTCAGATCGAAGTTGTGCTTTAAAATAAATAATAAGCCCTTTCGTTTTTAGGCTAAGTTGTTTTAGGTTTTTTGTTTTGGGTTTTGTTTTGTTTGCTGTTGTTTGCTTTTTGTTTTTGTTTGTTTTGTTTTTGTTAAAAGACCATCTGGAATTCAGATAGAAGGTAAAACAAACGTGGGAGAAAGGACTAATTAAAGGCCAGCTAGCTGGTCTGAGCAGAACAGGGACTCGGAAGTGAGACGAAGATGGGTGCAGGTGGCAGCTTCAGCGATCAAACGGGGTAACTGCTTTAGCATCGTGTTACCCGGGACATTTTTCCACATTTAGTTTAACTGAATTGCCAGTATATATGGGCAAGAAAAGGTGTGTCCTGGACTTGGGAGTACGTTTGTAAAATCTTCCTTTCCCCAGCTTAAAAGAATTGGGAAGGATGCATCGATAGGACTCCCACGCTAGCCATGGTTTCTGCTCTACGAAGGCCAGATTCTTGGACAAATCCAACTTGGCCCCAGCAGCTCCTCCTGCGAAGGGGCAGAGGCACCTACAGCTTCATCCCTTCACTCCAGCCCTCAGGGAGGGAGAGTAAAGGGCACGCCAGGGGCGGGGAGCATGAACAGGTTCTGGAATTTTGCTTTGGGGAAATCTCCCAAGGAGATCAGGAGCCACAGAAATCCCAAGATCGGACTGATTGAGTTGGAGAACCGGATTCCTTCAAGATCTGGAGCCTTTGGAGTGCACACGCTCACAAACACACGTATGCACACATACACACGGCCTCTCTGCTCTCCCCTGCACATTGCCTTCTCTCACACTGAATCTTCACTTAAGATTCAGGGAGGGGAAGGGGGAATTTCCCTTCTGTGGTCTGGTCTGGCATTGGCCAGCCTTGGAGGGAAAGGTAAGGAATGGGGAAGAAAAGTGAACTTTGGGGGCCACAAGGAACACTCAAAGGCAAATGTTTTAGGACCCCCTCTCCCCCATTCTGGGCTCTCAGACATCTCTTGGGGCTCTTAGAAAGGGACATCATGCATCCCCAGACCTGGGAGCCTGACACCGCCCCCTCTCCTAGACCATAGCCTACACCGCCCCACCCCAACCACCACCCCACAAAACACAAACTGCCCCTACATCCACGAGGTCCCTAGCATCTGCTTTTACCTGAGCAGGAGCGTGCCTTGCTGCGCTGCTTAGGGGTGAAGCTGGAGGCAGGGCCACCCAGGAAGCCTCCAGGGTGGAAGAGTCCGCTGCTGTAGTCGTGGGTGGCAGCCGGCACGTAGGAGGGGTAGGTAGGGATGGGGTGATGTGTGGCAGGCTGGGTGCCCATGGCAGCCAGGCCTGGGCGCAGGGGGCTGCCGCTTTCCATCTTCATGCTCTCGGCCAGGGAGACTTGGTACTTGACGCCATCCTTGTCCTCCCCCCGGGCAGCACTACCCCCTGCGGAGGAGGAGGCTGGGGAGGCAGCCCCCGTGGCGCTGGGGTCAGGAGACACTTCCTTGGGCGGCGTGGGTGGGAAGCCGAAAAGGTGGGAGCCAGAGTGGGCGGCAGTGGGGGTGAGGGAGGCCACCGAGCCCCCACTG